GCTACATACACTCACACACATACAGACTTCTCTACATCCACTCTCACAAACATAAATACTTACATACACTCACCCACATACAGACCTCTACATACACTCACCCACAAACTTACCTCTGCATGCACTCACCCACATACAGACCTCAGCATACACTAACCCACATACAGACCTCTACATACACTCACCCACATAGATACCTCTACATACACTCACCCAAATACAGACTACTACATACACTCACCACACTTACAGACCTCTGCATACACTCACCCACATACAGACCTCTACATACACTCACCCACATACAGATGTCTACATGCTCTAAAACAAATACCGACCTCTACATACACTCACCCACATACAGACCTCTACATGCACTAACACAAATACAGATCTCTACATACACTCACCCACATACATATTTCTAGATACACTCACACACATACAGACCCATACATACACTCACACACATACATATCTCTACAAACACTCACACACATACAGACCTCTACATACACTCACCCACATACAGACCTCTACATACACTCACCCACAAACAGACCTCTACATCCACTCAACCACATACAGACCTCCTACACCCACTCTCACCACACACAGACCTCTACTCCACTAACTATATGAATACAGTTAACTACATGCACACACCCACATATAGACTACTACATGCTCTCATCCACATACCGACCTCTACATCCTCTCAACCACATACAGATCTCTACATACACTCACCCACTTACATACCTCCATATCCACTCACCATAATACAGGCTACTACATCCCCCTACCCCCTACATAAAGACTATCTACATCCACTCTCACCCACATAGAAACTCTCTACCTACACTGACTAACACTCTGACTCCTACATGCACTCACACACACATAAAGACCTCCTACATCTTACTCACGCACATATACAGACCTCTACATACACTCACCCACATACAGACCTCTACATCTACTCACCCAGATACAGACCTCTACATACACTCACCAACATACAGACCTCTACATACACTCATCCACATAAATACCCCTACATATACGCACCAACATACAGACCTCTGCATCCACTCACCCAAATACAGATTTCTACATACACTCACCCACATAAATACTTCTACATACACTCACACACATACATCCCTCTACATACACTCATCCACATACATACCCCTACATATACGCACCAACATACAGACCTCTACATCCACTCACCCAAATACCGATCTCTACATACACTCACCCACATACATACTTCTACATACACTCACCAACATACCGACCTGTACATCCACTAACACAAATACAGACATCTACTTACGCTCACCAACACACAGACCTCTACATACACTCACCTACATACCTCCACATACACTCACCCACATAGAGACCTCTGTATACACTCACCTACATACAGACATCTACATACACTCACCCACATACATACTTCTACATACTCTTAACCACAGAGAGACCACTACATGCACTCATCCACATACTGACCTCTACATACACTCACCCACATAGAGAGACTCTACTTTACACTCTCACCCACACCCAGGTATATATACCTCCTCTACATACAGACATCTACATCCACTCACCCACATAGAAACCTTTACATACACTCACTAACACTCAGACCTCTACATCCACTCACCCACATACACATCTCTACATACACTCACCCACATACAGACGTCTACATACACTCACACACATACAGACTTCTACATCCACTCACAAACATTAATTTCCTCTACATACACTCACCCACATACAGACCTCTACATACACTCACCCACAAACTTACCTCTGCATGCACTCACCCACATACAGACCTCAGCATACACTAACCCACATACAGACCTCTACATACACTCACCCACATAGATACCTCTACATACACTCACCCAAATACAGACTACTACATACACTCACCACACTTACAGACCTCTGCATACACTCACCCACATACAGACCTCTACATACACTCACCCACATACAGACCTCCAGTTCCACTCTCCCACAAACCGACCTCGGCATACACTATCCTACATACAGACCTCAACATACACTCACCCACATACAGACCTCTACATATACTCACAAACATACAGACCTTTAAATCCACTCAACCACATACATACCTCTACACCCACTCACTCACATACAGACAAGTACATGCACACTCCCACATACAGACCTCTACATACACTCACCCACATACATACCTCTACAAACACTCACACACATACAGACCTCTACATACACTCACTCACATACATATCTTAACATACACTCACCCACATACAGAACTCTACATACACTCACTCACATACAGGCATTTACATCCAGTCCATACTGACCTCTACATCTACTCACCCACATACAGACTTCTACATACACTCACCCACATACCGACCTCTACATACACTTACCCAAATACAGACTGGTATATACTATCACCCGAAGACAGAACTCTATATCCAGTGACCCATAAACAGACCTCTACATACACTCACCCACATACAGACCTCTACATCTACTCACCCACATACAGACCTCTACATCTACTCACCCACATACAGACCTCTACATACACTCACCCACATACAGACCTCTACATACACTTCACCAACATAACCCTACACATATTCTACATCCACTCAAGCACATACATACCTCTACACCCACTCACACACATACAGACCTCTACATACACTCATCCACATACATACCTCTACATATACGCACCAACATACAGACCTCTACATCCACTCACTTCAATACAGATCTCTACATACACTCACCCACATACACATTTCTACATACACTCACACACATACAGACCTATACATACACTCACACATATACAGATCTCTACAAACACTCACACACATACAGACCTCTACATACACTCACCCAGATACAGACCTCTACATACACTCACCAACATACAGACCACTACATCCACTCAATCACATACAGACCTCTACACCCACTCACACACATACAGACCTCAACATCAACTCACCCACATACAGTTACCTACATGCACACACCCACATATAGACTACTACATGCTCTCATCCACATACCGACCTCTACATCCTCTCAACCACATACAGATCTCTACATACACTCACCCACATACAGACCTCTACATACATTCACCCACATACGGACCTCTACATACACTCACACACATACAGACCTCTACATACACTTATCCACAAACTTACCTCTGTATACACTCTCCCACATACAGACCTCTGCATACACACACCCAAATGTCGACCTCTACATCCACTCACCCACATAGATACCTCTACATACACTCACCCACATACAGACTACTACATACACTCACACACATACATACCTCTATATACACTCACCCACATTCAGACCTCTACATACACTCACCCACATACAGACCTCTACATCCACTAACACATATACAGACCTCTACAAACACTCAAACACACATAGATCTCTACACACACTCACCCACATACAGACCTCTACACCCACTCACCCACATACAGACCTCTACATACACTAACCCACATACCTACCTCTACAAACGTTCACCCACATACAGACCTCTACATACACTCACCCACATACATATCTTAACATACACTCACCCACATACAGAACTCTACATACACTCACCCACATACAGACCTATACATCGAGTCCATACTGTCCTCTACATCTACTCACGCACATACATACTTTTACATGCACTCACCTAGATACAGACCTCTACATATACTCACCAACATACAGACAACTACATGCACAATCCAACATATAGACTACTACATACACTCACCCACATACCGACCTCTACATACACTTACCCACATACAAACCTGTATATACTCTCACCGAAAGACAGAACTCAATATCCAGTCACCCACAAACATACCTCTACATACACTCACCCACATACAGACCTCTACATCCACTCAACCACATACAGACCTCTACACCCAATCACCCACATACAGACAACTACATGCTCTCATCCACATACCGACTCATACATACACTCACACACATACAGACCTCTACATACACTCATCCACATACATACCTCTACATATACTCACCAACGTACAGACCTCGACATCCACTCACCCAAATACAGATCTCTACATACAGACACCCACATACAGACAACTACATGCACACTCCCACATAACGACTACTACATGCTCTCATCAACATACCGACCTCTACATCCTCTCAACCACATACAGACCTCTACATACACTCACACACATACAGACCTCTACATACACTCACCCATATACATACCTCTACAAACACTCACCCACATACAGACCTCTACATACACTCACCCACATACATATCTTAAGATACACTCACCCACATATCGACCTCCACATACACTCATCCACATTTAACCTGTATATACTCTCACCCAAAGACAGAACTCTATATCCAGTCACCCACAAACATACCTCTACATAAACTCACTCACATACAGACCTCTACATCCACTCACCCAGATACAGACCTCTACATACACTCACCAACATACAGACCTCTACATCCACTCAACCACATCCAGACCTCGACACCCACTCACACACATACGGACCTCTACATACACTTACCCACATACAGACCTATACATACACTCACACAAATACAGACCTCTACATACACTTACCCAGATACAGACCTCTACATACACTCACCAACATACAGACCTCTACATACACTCACCCACATACGTACCTCTACACACACTCACCCACATACATACCTCAACATACACTCACCCACACGCAGACCTCTACATACACTCACACACATACCGCCCTCTGCATCCACTAAAACAATTACAGACATCTACATACACTCACCCACATACAGACCTCTACGTACACTAACACAAATACATACCTGTTAATGCAGAACACAAAAACTGATACTCGCATCAACAGGGTTTAATGTATTAATATTTGAGAAATTACAGTTCATAATAAGTGGCTGCTGCTGAGGATTTGATGAATATTATTGCGTTCACTTGAAGAGTAAAGTTGCTGATGAGCTGATGAGGTTCAGAAAACTACAACAAACAATAACTTTCGATGAAATTCACAAAATGTCAAATTTCAGAGCACATAACATTCAATGTTTCATTCGAATGATATGTGAATACATTGAAATTGCAAAAGTAACAACTACAAATTTACAAATAATTGTGTGAAATATATTAACAATTTTTGCACAACCTATTAACATTTTGGCATATATACAATTTCATTGTAATTTATAGATAGTACAACCTAGCAATGAAAGGGTAAAGTACTCACATATGTGTCTTTACATAGTTCAGCTTACAGTCAGCTGGGTGACAACCAGGCAGCATGGAGGTCCAATACACACTGGCAAGCATGTGCTCCAAAATGCATGAGCTTTGGAGAGGTCATGATGTGACCTGTGAGCTTTGACATCACACATGAAGGTTAAGGCCACAGGGTAATGGAAATTTACTGGGCCACATTGTTTACACTTTTGACTGATAAGGATTTAAATGGAAATGAACTTTAGATTTTAATTAAGTGTTTTAATTATTGGACCACCATGGATAAAATACTTAAAACCAATTGTCACAACTTAGTAAACAATTTCATTTGAAAGAATTTGTACATTGAAATGTATGTAAAGAATTCTTGCATTTACACATTCGGCCCCTTAAACATACTCACGGTGTGTTTAACAACCCAAACTACAAGGAATGCAAGAAAACAATCAGACCGACAAAACAAACATTTCAATCACATGTTTGAAGGAAGAAGTAAAACAAGTTTGTGAACTGGTCTTCGCAGCTCAGAGTCTTTTGTTTTCAGGATGACACTCCTGACATATCCACTTTTATCAGCCTCAATTCCAGTAACACGACACATCGACCAAGCACTTCGGGGAAGTGCATCATCTTTCAAGAGCACAATATCGTTCAATTGGAAATTGCGCTTTGGAGTGTTCCATTTTTGACGCTGTTGTAGCAAGACAAGATATTCTTTTTTCCAACGTGACCAAAATACATTTGCTAAATGTTGAATGTGTCTCCAACGTTGACGAGCATAAATATCATCAAGTTGAAATTCACCAGGTGGGGGAATGAAAACATTTGATTTCATCATAAGAAGGTGATTTGGAGTGAGTGGATTAAGATCATCAGGATCACTAGAAACTGGAGTAAGAGGCCTTGAATTCAAAATTGCTTCTACCTCGCATAGGAGAGTTCTGTACATTTCATCATCTAGTTGCTGACAGAACTCATGAAGTAGAGGATTCAGGACAGTTCGAACAGATCTGATGAGTCTTTCCCACACTCCGCCCATATGGCTTGCCGAAGGTGGATTGAAATTCCATCTGATATCTTGCTGAAGCAGATGGTAATGCAACTTTGACTGATCCAAACTATTTATAGTTTGACGAAGTTCCCTGGCGCCGCTTTTGAAGTTTGTTCCGTTGTCACAGTAGATTTCTTTAACTGGGCCTCTACGTGCAATGAAGCGCCGAAGAGCATTGATGAAAGAATCTGTGTTTAAAGAATTGGCAGTTTCAATATGAACAGCTCTACTGACAAGACACGTAAAAAGTGCACCATAGCGTTTGACATGTTTGCGCCCTTCTTTCACAATGTGTGGCCCAAAAAAAGTCAATACCTGTATATGTGAAAGGTGGTGCTGGGTTGACACGGTTGGCTGGAAGTTCTGACATAAATTGTACACTTGTTGGCATTTTGAACCTTCTGCATACAACACATTTGTTGAGAACTGACCTAACAGCAGAGTTCCCATTTGTGATCCAGTATGTTTCTCTCAAGGCAGATAATACATGATTACGACCTGCATGGCCAAGTGCTTCATGGATCTGTTGAATGATCAAAGTAGCCACATGACTTTTACGAGGCAAGATAATTGGATGTTTGACCAAATCAGGCACATTTGCTTTGCTTAAACGACCACCGACTTGCAGTAAACCATCATTGACAAAAGGATTTAGCTTCTGAATGGAACTGGTCTTTGGCAGTTTGACATTTGCTTGGCTTCGTTCCTTTGCTGTGCTCTCAAGAAATTCTAATTCAGACTTGTAAGTATTCCTTTGCACAAATCTAAGAATCTTTCTTTCAGCTGAAGCTAGCTCTTGGACAGTGAATGGTCCCTTCATTGGAGTGCATTGCATCTTCAGAGATTTGGGAGGTTGCGATTTCTTGACCTGAAGATAAGCACAAAATCTGCGGTAAATTGCAACAGCCCTCTTTAGACGATACCAGGATGAATAATGCTTGATCAAAGTATCTACAGCTTCGACATCTGCCTTGCCAACTTCTTCTGACTTCACCATTCCAGCATGTTCACGACAATCAGAAACTGGCCATTCATCTTCAGGAGTTACCAAAAACTGTGGCCCATTAAACCAGAGTGTTGACTTGAGAAATTGTTTACAACTTGAGCCTCTAGAAGCAATATCTGCAGGGTTACTTTTTTGAGTCAATGTACTTCCATTGCTGGGGCGTACTGTAATCTCTGATCATCTTCACACGGTTTGTTACGAATACTGGAAATCTGTTGCATTCATTGCTGATGTAGCACAGAACAGTTGTGGAATCAGTGTAGTAAGTTAGGCTATCAATGACAATGTCCAATTCTTGCAACAAAAACTGACCAAGTTTAACTGAAGTTGTAGCTGCTGTCAGTTCGAGTCTTGGAATGGTCAGAGTTTTCAAGGGAGCTAACCTGGCTTTGCCTAGCAATAGCACAGTGTGTATGTTATCTTTGTCATCACATAGTCTAAGGTAAGCTGAGCATCCATACCCAGTAGTACTAGCATCAGAAAAAATGTGCATTTGTCTGGAAACAACTGTCCCAAAGGAAGGCTTGATGCAGCGTTTAACTTTTAAGCCTCTTAATGCTTCCAAGTCTTGAAGCCAATGATCCCATGCTTGTTTGTGCCCAGCGCTAACTTCATCGTCCCAGCCCAATGACTTGTCTTTACATAAGCTTTGAAGAATCTTTTTGGCAGGTAACAAGACTGGTGATACAAGGCCTAAAGGATCATACAAGGAAGACATTGTGGACAAAATTCCTCTCCTTGTCATTGGTTTCTTAGGCAAATCTACAGAGAATTTGAAACTATCAAGTCCTATGTCCCATTGCATGCCAAGTGCTCGTTCCATTGGAATGTCATCATAATTCAAATCAATGGTTTGAATTTCCTTGGCACAATGTTCTGGGGGAATAGATGCCAAAACAGTTTTGCTGTTACTGGTAAATTTGGTAAGATTAAAGCCACCTTCTGCGCATGCGGATTGCAAGTCAGTTATCAGCTTAACAGCTACTTGTTCATTTTCAACAGACTTCAGACAGTCGTCCACATAAAAGTTCCTTTCTATGGTTTCAGCAACATTTGCGTCATACTTTGACTTTGCATTTCTTGCCGATGCCTTCAGTGCATAGTTTGCAATAGTGGGTGATGACACTGTTCCAAAAGTGTGAACGGTCATTTTGTACTCCTTCAACTCGCTGTTCAAATCCCCATTAGGCCACCACAAAAACCTGAGAAAGTTTTGTTGCTCTTTGGGCACTTTTACCTGGTGGAACATCGCTTCCACATCACCCATAAAGGCAACATCGTCTGTACGGAATCTCGTAAGGACACCAATTAAAGAATTGGCCAAGTCAGGACCCTGTAGCAGGACATCATTAAGTGAACAACCATCAAATTTAGCATTGCAGTCGAATACGACCCGAATCTTATTGGGCTTTTTGGGGTGATAGACGCCGTGATGTGGTAAGTACCAAACTTTACCATCATGTCTGTGCAGTTCATATTCTGGGACCTCACAGGCATATCCCTTAGACAAGATAGTGTCCATAAATTTGACATAATCTTTATGGTACTTGTCATCTTTTAGCATCTTCCGCCTTTGCCAAAGGACTCGTTTAAGAGCTTGTTCCTTGTTACATGGTATTGGGGATTCATCTCTAAATGGAAGAGGAATTTCAAAATGGCCATCAACAAATTTGAGATTTTGTTCAGTGTCTTTCATAAAACGTCGATCTTCAACAGAATAACCTCGTTCGTTCGGAGTTGATCCAAGATCATGCTCATTGAAGTCCAACTCAAACAATTTCAAAACTGTTTCAGGAGCAATGCATTCTTTTGACTTTTCCATTTCTTTCAAAACAATTCTATTGCATACTAAGCTGTTGTTTGATAGATTGTGTTTGAGCTGAATTGGGCCATTAATTGTCCAACCGTGCCTGTAAAGTACGGCAAAAGGTCCTTCACCGTGAGATGGAACAACTTCTAATGGCTGTAAAGCAAGTGGACAGTTGCCTCCTATCAGCAAACCAATGTCAAGATTAGGCATGTGTTCTGATAATTTGTCTGAAACATTCCTTAAATGGGAAAATTGTTTTAAAAGTTTAGGCTTCGGAATATGATCATGATCTACTGGCATAACATCTTTGGAAAAAGTGCGTGGCAAATTCACATGTTGCGTGTTGTCAAGATCTGAAACCACAATGTCATCTAAAGCAGTGGTATTGACAAATTCTATGCCATTCATTGTCTGAAGTTTCAGCACAGTAGGTGAACACTTCGCACCGAGTCGATCCCGCAGATCCTCTGTGATAAAGCAGCCTGTACTACCGTTATCCAACATGGCGTATGTAGTGATCACCTGATTACTTCCCTTCTGTTTAACGTTGACAGGAAGAATAGGCTGAAAGACAGTCTCAATGTAATTGTTGGACTTTGAAGCATTACAACTCGCAGCTTCATGAACCTGTTTAGCAGGAGAATCATCACTACTCTGCTTGTGACTACTTTCAGACACTACTCCTTTTGACTTTATCAGTGGCTGGAAGTTATTATCATGCATAGCGGTAGGATGACGTCTGCTACAAGTTTTGCATGTGCGTCTTTTCATACAACCTTTGGCAGAGTGATTGAGACCATAGCAACTGAAACATCTGTTACTTTGCTTTAAGAATTCACGTTTCTCGCTAAGGGACTTTAGTGCAAAGGATCTACAGTCATCAAGATCATGAGGTCGTTTGCAGAAGTAACAACTTGAAGTAAATCGTTTACCTTGTGAGGTGTCATTTCCAACTTGAGTTGCTAAAGTGGTTGACTGGTTCCTGTGAGACATCTGCTTGGTCTTGTTGTGGTTCCCCTTGCAATGTGATGCATCATGTAAGTTGGCCATAGCTTGTTTGCCGAATGTTGGTTCATTCGCTGACTTGGCTGCAAAGTCTATGAAGTCAACCAAGTCCTGAAAGCCAATACTGTGGTTTTGAATGCTTGCTTGGGTCATGCGATCCCTCCACTTTGTCTGCAGGTACTGTGGCAGCTTTGAGACAATTGATTGCATATGAGGAGCATAATTAAGAACAAGCATGTGTGAAATGTTTTGCATTACATGACAACATCTAATCAAAAGAATGGAGAACTGTTTAAGTCCCACATAGTCATCAGTTTTCAATACCGGCCAAGAAAGAATTTTATTCAAATATGCTGTTGAAACTTTGTATGGGTGACCATATTCTTTTATCAATAACTCTCTTGCCTTCTTGTAACCTGTATTTACATTCATGTAGAGACATCCAGAGACAAGATCCTTCGCCTCCCCTTGCAACTGTTGGTCTAGGTAATAAAGCCTATCAGCATCAGTGTGTGTGTATGGAACAATTCGAGCATCAAATGCCATCAAGAAAGGAGCAAATTCTGTTGGATCACCTTTGAACTTTGGCACCTCTGGCTGTGGTAAAAACATAGCATTGGCCATCTGCCTTTGAGTATCTAGGAAAATATGACTTGATGAATTAGGTTGATTATCAAATACACCATGATCTGGCACAAAGTTCTTTGAAATATTTCCTTTTTCTGGCACAAAGTTCTTTGCATCAGTATTTAACTTTGGCTGTGAAGACTGCCCAGTGTTATAATGCACAGGGTAAGGACAAGTTTCAGTTGGATTCAACATTTGCCTGGGTGGCTGGTCAGTGCAGTAATTTGCTTGACTGCTATTTATCTGCATATCATTTATATGAGGTTTAATCTTAGATGTGACAGGAGGGATTGGATTTATCTCACCGTTGTCTGTATCTCGCATCTTTACCTTCATTTCTGTTGTAGACTTCAGGTCAGCATCAGCGAAAATCTGTTCCCTTGCACTTGTCTTCGCAATCTCAATGTCTAGCTCAAGCTCTTTCATCTTCAACTGAGTTTCATACATAGATGTCTGTGCCTGTGTCATCGAATGGAGCATGG